TATATATATAGAGCACAGTAGTCACCTCAGACAAGAATGCTAAAATTAAGCTCTAGGATGAACATCCTTCAAGTGAAACCTGAGTGCTTATGTGAATTCCGGTTTCAGATTTCAGAGTTTAGACCAGGGATGCTCAACTGCTGGGGTCCATAAAAAACTGTAAAACCAGTCCCAACAATTTAAGATAAAACCTATACTTGTTTTTGTTGTTGTTCTTGTTTTGTTTTTCGAGACAGGGTTTCTCTATGTAGCCCTGGTTATCCTGGAACTCATTCTGCAGACCAGGCTGACCTCAAATTCAGAGATCCACCTGCCTCTGCCTCCTGAGTGCTGGGATGAAAGGTGTGTGCCTCCACCCGAATGGCACCCGAGAAACAATATCCAAAGTTGTCTTTCAACTAAAATACTCTACAAGATAGAAAACTTTCAAACACAATGCTCAAGACTTCTGACTTGTTCTTATTTACTTGAGGTTTGACTAAAAAACAAAACAAAACAAACAAAATATTAAAATTGAGTGCATTATTGGCTCCTTTTCCAGATAAGAAACTAAAACACACTGAGGTCAAAGAACTTTTGAAGAGTCCTATGTCTGGTAAAAGGCAGACCTCAGCCCTACTTGTTTGGATGGACAGTAAAGAGACTGGGCCTTCATTCTCATCCTACCCAAATGGGTGCTTTCCTTTCACATCCTGCAGGCCAAGGGGACACAGGCAGAAGGGCAGCTAAGAACAATCTGACACCTCACCCAGTTTCAGCATGCTGTTGCAGGATCCAGAACCCGTCAGTTCACAAGACGAAGAGCTCGAAAATACCTAAAACAAAGCAGTCGCTTCTGTAGCATCCCGGCTTGCAACTTAAAACATTTCTAATATAAAAGCTTATTCTAGCCATGAGTATTTTCAAGCTAGCACACAGAAATAATATCGATAAGATAAAAAAAGCTGTCAAAACTGACAGGAGATAAAAAAAATAATTACATTTCCCTCACAAATACTTAAACAAGAAAACAACGAATTTCCCTTGCAAGGCAGAGCCCACTGCACGGTCAGGCTGACCTCACACTCACTCAACTGGTCTTTTGTTCTGAAGAGAGTACTTGACTCTGTAGCCTGGGCTGGCCTGGAACTCACTATGGAGCCCGGCTAGTCTCAAGCTCACACCGATTCTTCTGCCTCCACCTCCTAAGGATTACAGGCATTAGCCACTATACCTGGCCTTTTCTTCCTTTTGTTTTTTAGGCAAGGGTCTCACTGGATTGTCACAAATAGTCCTAAATGTCCAAGCTCATCTAACTCTTCTGCAGCAGGCTTCTGAGCACTAGGATCTAAGAGTGTGCCATGAAGCTAAATGAGCCAATATTCTTCTTTAAAAATATTACATTCCTGGGATTAAAGGCGTGTGCCACCACCGCCCAGCAAACAGTAAGTCCTCTGGCCCGTACCTTGGCGTTATTAGCACCATGCTCTAACCAACTGAGGCAGAGGCAGGTGGATCTCTGTGAGTTTGAGACCAGCCAAGTCTACATAGTAAGTTTTAGGACCAGCCTGGTCTACAAGAGCTAGTTCCAGGACAGGCTCCAAAGCCACAGAGAAACCCTGTCTCAAAAAAAAACCAAAAAAAAAAAAAAAATTACATTCCGTTGTGTGTGTACGCGTGCTCGCGTGTGAGCTCGTGAACATGCAGCAGTGCCTGTGCATGCATGCATGCATGAAGGTCAGAGGACACCTTCCAGGAAACTGTTCTCTCTTTATACAGTATGGGTCCTGGGGATTGAACTAAGTTCATCAGGCTCAGCAGCAAAGCCTGAGTTTGCTTGAGTCTTTACTCACTGAGCCATCTTGCTGGCCCCCTGACATTCTTTATAAGTATTTTTAAAATATTTAAATTTTTACCTTTAGTTTCTTGATCTTCATATCAAAGCTAACAATTGCATAATCATTTCTGGAAATAGGTCAATCTATATGTTAATTCCTCCAAAAGACTGAGAATATTTTTTAAATTCAATGTTAAAAAATATATTGCAATGTATAGTGATATTTTATTTGTGTTTTAATAAAGCTTGCCTGAAGATCAGAGTACAAAGTTAGCCATACTAGTCAGCCATACAGGCCAAGCAGTGGTGGCACATACCTTTAATCCCAGCAGCCACACTAGTTAGGCGGTGGCGGTGCATGCCTTTAATCCCAGCACTTAGAGAGGAATATAAAACAGGAGGAGACAGGAGCTCAGGTCTCAGTCTACAGTCTGAGGTTTGACGGAGAGCACTGCAGTCTACAGTCATTCTGAGGACAGGATCGCCCTTTTGTTTGTCTGAGCCTTAGAAGAGATAAGAACTCTCTAGTGGCTTGGCTTCTTTGCTTTTCTGATCTTCAGCTTGAACCCCACTATCTGTCTCTGGGCATTTATTAGTCATGCTACAACAATGTAATTTTTTATCAAACTAAGTACAAACATCAGTGTGTAGATAAATTGTACTTAAGATTTAGAAGATCCATTTCAGGCACCCCTGTAACCCTAGTACTCAAAAGGTAGAGGCAGGTGTATCTCTGTGAGTTCGAGACCAGCCAAGTCTACATAGTAAGTTTTAGGACAACCAGAGCTATGAAAAGAGACCCTGTCTGAAAAAAAAAAAAAAAAAAAAAAAAAAGATATACAAGGTCCTGGGTTCCATTTCCACACAAAACAACAAAAAGTGAAAAAAAGACCAATATCCCAGCCCCACTGACCTCTCCTGCAGGGGCCACATTCCGTGTTCCATTACAAGCAGAAGACACCATGGGTTTTGTGGTCAGCTGGCATGGGAATCCAAGTAAACTCGCAGCATTGTAGAAACCGCTTTTCACTTGGTGAATGATGCAATCTACAAAGTATCAACAAGTTATAAACACAGCATTAACTTGCAGAAAAAAAATTAATTATATTTTGAAAAGAACCTATCTTAGTTTTTAATAAAGTCTTATTTTGAACACTGAAATAAAAATATCTATAAAAGTGCTTTGGGGCCATCAAGATGGCTTAGTGAGTAACAGTGCTTGCCTGCAAGCCTAGCAACCTAAGGTTAATTTCCAGAACCCACATAAAGATGGAGAGAACTGAACCCACAAAGTTGTCCTCTGACCTCCACAGGCATGTCACAACATAACTCCACTCGTGTGTGTGTGTGCATCATACATACATGAATAATAAATACTTCTTCCAACTGAAAAAATGGAATTCTAACACATGAATTTTGTTTTAATCAACTAGCACAGCTGCTATGAAATCATTAAACTATTACTTTAGTGCCACAAACTGATTCCCAAGACAATCTGCAATAGCAGCTTTTGAGCAGTAGGCTTTGTAGAATATATAAAAAGAAACTTCAAAGAGATGAGGGATAAATGAACAAAGAACACACAGACTGCCAGGCACGGAAAACCTATAGAGAACACTGATACTCACTAGTTTCCCAGGCAGGTAACAGCATGATTACCTGAAACAGCCATCTACAAAGCCCCTCATAAATCCTGACTGAGAGAAAACAAAAACAAACAAACCATCTCTTGAGCATCTGCGCTATCCCACGACTGAACCAGATGCATTGAACAATCTCAAGCTCACTTCTTCCTGGTACCAAAGATTACAAAATCAAGAAGTAAACAAATGGTGTGGGGGGGGGGGATTTCAGTGCTCCTCTGCTTCCTTCTTTTATAATACTACCTCCCTCACTTCCTACACATCTATGTTTCCTACATTTTCCTTTATACTCGCCAATTAAAGATACTGTAAAGAACTAGTTTCTTCCTCAGAGAAAAATAGGCTAAAATGGTGGCTTTAAGCAACAGAGTTACAATGTAGATAAAATGCAAAATAAATACTTTCTAGGAAGGGGAACAGCTCAAATAAGTGAGAAAATGTGTTGGTCAGGTGGAGCAGAATCCAACTTAGAAGTAATTTACATATTTGCTGACCACAATGGCGTACACTTGTAATTCCAACATTCAGAAGGCTGAAGCATCCTGTTCTAATTAGGGTTACTATTACTGTGATGAAATGCCATGACCAAAGGAACCTGGAGAGAAAAAGGGTTATTTGGGTTACACTCTATCATTACTGTTCTTCAAAGTCAGGACAGGAACTCACACCACACAGGAACCTGGAGGCAGGAGCTGATGCAGAAGCCATGGAGGGGAGCTGATTACTGGCTTACTCCTCATGGTTTGCTCAACCTGCTTTCTTTTTTAATCCGTTTGTCGGCTGGTGGTTTGTTTGTTTATTCTGAGACAGGGTTTCTTTGTAGTTTTGGAGCCTGTCCTGGAACTCACCTGCTTTCTTATAGAACCCAGGACAACCAGTCCAGTGGGAATACAATGGGCTGGGCCCTCCCACATCAGTTACTAGTTAAGAAAATGTCCCACAGGCTTGCTTACAGTCAGATCTTATGGAGGCATTTTCTCATTGAGGCTCCTTCTTCTCCAATGACTCTAGCTTGAGTCAAGTTGACATAAAAATAGCAAGCATAATTCCAAATTCATGAGGTGAATCCCAAGTTGGAGACTAGCCTGGGCAGCACAGTAAACTTAAGGATAGCCCATGCTACATATGGAGACCCTGTCCTAAAAAAGAAAAATACTAACATTTTCAAATTAGTTGTTTTTCATTTCAGGAATTGGGAGGCAGTTCCAGGTTATTCCTACAAGAAGCTGAAGGATGGTTTCTACTCCTGATTGGTGTTTATTCTACAGACTCTGGAACGGAAGACAAGACATACTTCTTTTTTTTTTTTTTTTTTTTTGGTTTTTCGAGACAGGGTTTCTCTGTGGCTTTGGAGCCTGTCCTGGAACTAGCTCTTTAGACCAGGCTGGTCTCAAACTCACAGAGATCCGCCTGCCTCTGCCTCCTGAGTGCTGGGATTAAAGGTGTGCACCACCATGGCCCTGCAAGACATACTTCTTGATGAGAGTAACAGACACTAAAGTATTGGAAAGTTTTACTTTCCTACAAATTTTATCAAAAAATGGGTCTATCCTAACACTGTGTCAGCTCATTAGACTCTTACAAAGAAAGGTCTCACCTATAAAAGAGGCTCACATGACCTGGTGTACTATGAGACTCTGGTTCTCACAGTAAAATCATGGCTTTGCTCCATGAGGTCCCCTTCCCGCCTTCACCTCTGCTGTCTCTTCTCCACAAAGCTACCTCAAGTCACCCAGAAGACAGATGTGATTACCATGTAATTTCATGTAAATTAGTGAAAATTAAAAATTCAGTTCTTTATTGAAGTGTGATGGCTCACACTTGTACTTAGAACTAAGTGGGGGGGGCTGAGGAAAAGGACTGAGGACAATTTGGATTACTTAAGACACAGCCACAGCCGCACACTGACACATACACACGCACACACACTGAATTTAAAAACCTTGAATTCTTTGAGTTAAACTAGCCATACTTCAAGAACATCACCGCAAGAAGAGCTGCTGGTCAGTATGCTGTGTAACCCAGCTGCATCTCCAATTCAGATTTTTTTCTGCTGTGTGAAATCAAAGTCTGATGGAGTGGGGTGATCCTCAGCACAGAAGTAGGTGACTACCATACACAACTAACCCAGGAACCTTCTCTAATACCACCGAATTGTTGCTTTGCAGTAGGAGGGACTGAAATTTGGGTGTTGAGTATACTGGACAATCACCGAACTTATTCCCACCCTCTAACTACTTTACTTTGAAACCGAGTCTCATTCAGTAGTCTAAGCAGGCTTTGAACTTTGACCTATCGGCTTCGACATCCTCAGTAGATAAGACAAAGGCCTGTCTTAACCAGGCCCTGGGTACCACCAGTTGTTTTTTGTTTCTGGTTTGGTATGTTGTTTTTTTGCCATGTTGCTTTATATATTTTATTACATTCAAGTACAAGCTAATATTTATTTATATTTTTTAAAGAAGCTCATTTTTTCTTAGTTAAAAATGATTATAATTAAGCCTAGTTAATTTTTTTAAATTTCATGTAATTATGTAAGATCAAGACGTACTCAGTATTTATTAGATTTAAATGGAATAGCAACAAGTTCCACAGTTAACCAACACATCTGGAATAACCCAGATTCACAAGCACTGTTGAAAACAGGGATCACACTATAGTATTCCACTGTGCCTGGCCCTTTAACCTGCTTTATTCTTGTCTACCAGGAAGACACAAGAAAGCAGATGAGACAACAAATCAGATTGGTTCACACTGCCAGATGAATCTGATCAGTCAGTTTAAACTGGTGCTTAAAAATAAAGAAAACGTCACTTTTTATTACAGACTACTTTAGCACTTTAAACACATTTACTGCACATATCTGAAAGACAGTGGCGTAGGGAAGGGTAGGAAAGAGGCAACTTTTTCATTGTCACACTATTTTACCTTTGGATCTTGTTCCATACATGTATTTTTCCTACTAAAAAGAAATGAATTTTTAAAATGTAATACCTAATCTTGGTCTTTTAGCTGGGATTTCATCAGTGTCCACTGTAGTAGAAAACAGAGTGCTGTAAAGAAAGGAAAAGAAGTATGTATATACGTATGCAACATATGTATTTCTATAAAGAAACTTACTCTGAGCTGGAGGTGTGACTCAGTTGTCCAGCACGTGTTTAGCATGTAAAAACCTCTGGGTTCAAAACCTAGCACCAAGACAAAAACATACCATACAACATTCCCAATTCCATCTACAATTCATAAAATGGGATGAAACCTGTAAAACACAATGCTAGTTCTAAATCTTTTTTTTTGATTTTGGTTTTTCAAGACAGGGTTTCTCTTTGTGACAGCCCTGGCTGTCCTGGAACTCACTTTATAGACCAGACTGGCCTCAAATAAACAGAGACCCACCTGCCTCTGCCTCTTGAGTGCTGAGATTAAAGGTGAGCACCACCACTGCCCGGCTGCCCAGCACTTATTTCTAAATCTTAAGAAAGACCCAAAACTTCCTATCTCGTAATGATGTGTAACCTGGTCAAACTGAACCAATAAATCATTTTTTTTGGAACAATAACCCCAAAGACAGCCATTTTTTTTTACTTCAAGTGTCAATATTAGCAGCCTTAAGAGGTATGTTATGGGGGGGGGGGGACTTTGGGAGAGAGTGATTAACTGCCCCGCCCCTAACCCACCCCAGGGTTGCAGATGGAAGACAGGACAGACACGGTAGACAAGCACTCTACCACTAAGACACACCTCTAGTCCCTAAAATGGGGGGGGAGGGGGCACTGAATGATTCTGAATGAGAATAACTGTTAACAGTCCCCATTCAATAAGAGATACAGTTTCATTGAACACCAGACCCAGCATAAAACACTGCCCTTACCTAGTACACCAAAGATTACTTTAGGAACTTTACAACATCTTAAATTCTCTTGATTCTATCTCTCTGGAATATGTACCAGTTTAGCTAACACCCAATCCCATCTGTGACCTACATTTCTAGAATCATCTATGAATCATTTAGTTCTACTTCCCCTAAACCAATTTTTGTCCACTTCTCTTGACCTGGAAACACAAAAAATAACCATCATCATCATAATAAATTAAGCAGACACAGCATAGTAAGGGAAGGAAGGATGGGAGAGACTTATAGGGAATATAGAATTTGTACAGTGTTTTACTTTCTAGATAAATCCTTAATTAAAGGGGAAGGCTATAAAACAGGTAAAGGTGTAGCTGCTAAGTAATAATATCTGTAATTTCCCTCTAATTTTAATCAAGCCTTAGAGTGGGGTACCTACTTTCTTTCCGTCTCTTACAGCGATGCTAAAGAACTGGACCATTCTCCTCCCCTCCAGCCCAACACACACAGCTGCTGTAAAACAAGACAACTGCTGTTCCCTGGTGCGAAGAGAACAGTACTCACAGTCAAATGACCGTGGGCCAACTCCTAACCTACTGGCTTGTCCCAGCGCTGCCCGCCCGCGGTGACACCGGGCCACCGGAGCTGTTTCGGGCGAGCAGCACAGCGGCGGCCTTCCGCTCCCCTTCCACTCCCAGCTTGAAGGGCGGACTCGCCCCCAGGCCTCCGCGGTCCAGGAGCCGCCGGTTCCCACAGGCCCGCGGCGCCCAACGCCAGCGCGGGGGAGGGGACCGACGAGCGGCCGCCTTACCTGCTCGAGCGCCGCCTCTTGAGCAGGGCGCGAGCCCCGGGCGCGGGCCGCTCGCACAAGCGGAGAATGGTGCCGAGAACCCTAGCCAGCCATCTGTACATTCCAGGCCGGAGCAGCAGCGGCGGCCGACACACCCCGAGACGCGAACCCCAGAGCTGTCGCCGCCGCTGCCGCCTTAGCTGCTTCAACCAGAGCCAGGTTCAGGCGCGGGATTATGACGCCATCAGAGGGCCCACAGATTCAACGTTCCCCGGGCTCAGGGAGGACCCACTCCGCGCCGCTGACGTCACCTCCTTCCGCCCAACGGGAAAAGCGGCCTCCGCGATCTGCGCACGCGCAGCCGGGCCGGGCTACTGGTAAACCTCGCAACAGGAAGCCCTCCCGGCCGAACAGGCTCTTGCGCAACCTTGATTGGCAGGACTGGTGGGCGGGGCTTTCTCTTCGGCGGAGCCAGTCAGGAGTCGGCGTCGGGACAAGGCCCACAGACCCAGACCACGTGTACCGCCTCTGAGGAGGGACCGGATGGTGGGGGCTCTGTAAAAGAACGCGCACGGTGAAAATAGGTCAGCTTAGCTATCGAGTGTTTAACGTTTTACTCTTTAATTGGCATCTACATTGGTCTATTACTTTACACGGATTGCCGTCCTGTTCTCAGCAACAGAAAGCGTTAGGGAGCCTGTCATAAAAACCAAAGGTGTAGCAATTAAATCATGTGCCTACGATAATAAAGCTGTTTTACCAGCATTTGAACAAAGTCTAAGTACTAGGCCTATTCTACATTCTTAAGGTAAAACCTACTGGAAGAGACATTTTCATAAATAATTTTAAATAAGGATACAAGATAATTGCCACTGGGGAAGAATGTTGCAAAGTGCAATGGAGCTAGAGAAAGGAGAACCGCAAGCTGGGGAATGGGTAGGGCGGAAGGACAACTCCTTAGGAGAGTGTTGTAGGACCTTTGTACACTGCGTGAAGATGTATTGTTGCGATTGGTATAATAAAGAGCTAAACGGCCAGCTAGGCAAGGAGGAAAAGTAGGATTGGGGGAGGGGGATAAGAAGGAATCACGGCTTATGAATTACGTGAAAGAGACGCCAACATACACAGGAGTTAGACATACAGAATGAAAGTATGTCTAAAAAAATCACATGGTAAAATGTAAATTAATAGAAACAGGTTAATTTAAGTTATAAGAGCTAGTGGGGAAAAGCCCAAGCTAAAGCCAAGCTTTCATAATTAATAATAAGTCTCAGTAATAATAATATTAAGTTTCTGTGTCTTTATTTGTGAGTTGGCGGCCCGATGAAAAATCTGACTACAGCCTGGCGGTGGTGACGCATGCCTTTAATCCCAGCACTTGGGAGGCAGAGGCAGGCGGATCTCTGTGAGTTCGAGACCAGCCTGGTCTACAAGAGCTAGTTCCAGGACATGCTCCAAAAAAAACCCACAGAGAAACCCTGTCTCGGAAAAAAAAAAAATCTGACTACATATGGTCCCCAATGGGGAACTTAGAAAGATCTTCTGCCAGTTTGGATTGAGGAAGTAGAGATAGAGGAGGTCACTGGTCACTTCTCTGCAGCTTCGCTGACCAATCAAGTTCTTACCCTGTTATCTGACTCCTGAGTTTTTATTGATAAAGAATAATTAAACCGGGGCTGGAGAGATGGCTCAGCCGTTAAAGGCTAGGCTCACAACTAAAAATAGAAGAATAATTAAACCGGGCGGTGGTGGCACACGCCTTTAATCCCAGCACTCAGGAGGCAGAGGCAGGGGGATCTCTGTGAGTTCGAGGCCAACCTGGTCTACAAGAGCTACTTCTTGGTCAGGCTCCAAAGCTACAGAGAAACCCTGTCTCATTAAAAAAAAAAAAAAAAGCCTGCCGCCCCATCTCGGACTCAGCTACTTCCCAGCTGGGGAAGTAAATGGTTCCAGACCGAGGCCACAGTCGTGAAGTTCTGCTCTCACCAACTGGAGGGGGGACGGAGTCAGCTGCCAGAGCTGCAGTGTGGTCACCTAGCCGGTTAAGGATTGGCTCACACCGTCAGAGAAGGCTACAAACGTGCAAAAAGACAGGTACAAATCAAGAAAACTTCTGAACAAGTAGAGTATGCTTAAAAATGTGTTCAGATGCTAAAGAAAGAAAATGAGTATAGACAACTGTAGAAAAATTAATTTAAAAGTAATAAAGTCTTGGGCTGGAGAGATGGCTCAGAGGGTAAGAGCACTGGCTGTTCTTCCAGAGGTCCCGAGTTCAATTCCCAGAAACCACCTGGTAGCTCACAACCATCTGTAATGAGACCTGGTGCCTTCCTTGCCAGCAGTACATTGTATGCTTAATAAATAAATAAATCTTTAAAAAAAAATAAAGTCTTTAAATAGAGCAAAATAATAAAAATATAAGCCACATAAAAATGGAAAATATTATAACAGAGAGTTTGGGCCTTATATGGCACTGTTAGTTTTGAATTTTTTGAATGCTAATAAACAGAAAAAACATGGGGGTAGGGGGAGGCAGTGATGCCAGAAGACCCAGGACAAACAGGATAGGCAGGAGGAGAGATAACAGCTATGATCTACGTGGCAGAACATAGATTAATATAAATGAGTTAACCTAAGTTATCAGAACTGGTTAGGAACAAGCCTAAATTATAGGCTGAGATTTCATAATTAATAAGAAGTCTCTGTGTGATTATTTGGGAGCTGTCTGAACAGAAAAAGACTCATTACAGAAAAGCTTCAGAGAAACAAGGACTGAATGATACCTCTGGCCTCCTAATCAGCTGCTCTGCTCCCCCTAATGTAGAGGTCACACTATCAATTAGCAACTGAAGAGTCCCACATTGTTGGGTGATTGGAAATCCACCCTCCTCTGGGACAGTTCTGAAAACACAGCAAAGGTTTTGATTCCCTACAAACCTCTGCTTCACTGTGTCTCAGTTAAGTCCAGCTTCTGGGCTTGCTTGAGTTCAACCCAGGTGCTTCCAGTGAGACCCCTCCTTTCAAGAGACAGTGTTCCAGAATTCTACTGCAAGCCTCCTGTGTTGCTTTCCTTGGTAATAAAACGCTGACTGACCTATAGCTGGGCAGGAAGAGACTGGGCAGGAGAGCCAGGCTAGGAAGATGCCCGGAAGAAGAAGGGCAGAGTCTGAGGAGTTGCCAGGAGATGTAGAGGGAGCAAGACATGCTGGAGGACAGGTAAAGCCTTGAGCCATGTGACAATACATAGATTAATAGAAATGGATTAATTTAAGTTGTAAGAGCTAGTTAGTAATAAGCCTGAACTATCAGCCACACATCTATAATTAATATAAAGTCTCTGTGTCCGTTATTTGGGAACTAGCAGGTGCCAAAGAAAAGTCTGCCTACATTTTTACAAGAGGCCATCAGTACTCTGGTCTGAAAGGTGTCTGGCAGAGACAATTCTAAGTATGTGCTTGCGCCTCTCAATTTCCCAAACCGTAATCAACACCAAGTTGTTACTGAAAGCATGTAAAAGGAAATTAAAATAGACTCTTTTTCCTCTGAAGACTTGACAATTTAGTCTGTGTAATGTATGGATAGAAACAATAAAAAAAAGCAACAAATTTTTTTAAAAAATGAAAGCACAAGAGCCATACAGAATTAAGACAGGGTTGACTTTAGAGCTGAACAGAGGAAACAGAACTCAAGCTTCTAGAAGGAAAGTACAGAAAGAAGGGACTCTTAAGTTTTATTACTTATTTTTGAGGTATTCTATCATCTATCTATCTATCTATCTATCTATCTATTATTTATTTGCTTTTCGCGACAGGGTTTCTCTGTAGCTTTGGAGCCTGTCCTGGAACTAGCTCTTGTAGACCAGGCTGACCTCAAACTCACAGAGATCCGCCTGCCTCTGCCTCCAAAGTGCTGGGATTAAAGGCATGCTTCATCATCACCCAGCCAAATTTTTGTTTGTTTGGTTATTTTATTGTTGTTGTTGTTGACATATTTTATTAGTTGAGAATTTCTTTTTTTTTTCCCCTCACCTCTGCTTCCCAAGTACTGGGATCAAAGGCATGTGGCACCTCTACTGCACAACAAAGTTTATTTTTACATTAACTTTATTTTGATTTACTACTATGGCAAATTTCCAATTTATTAAAATTACAGAATAATACTATATTTCCAATGTTTTCTTTATTCATAGCTACTTTATGGACTTAGACATATTTCAAAGTCAGGGGAATATTTCTTTTTTTTCTAGTCTTTAAGATATTTTTATTACATTTCTTTGTTCATATGTGTACACATGCAAACACATGCCATGGCACATGTATAGTCCTCAGAGGATAACTTGTGGGGAATTGATTCTCCTTCTACCAAGTGAATCCCAAGGATTAAACTCAGGTTGTCTGGCTTGGCAGCAAGTACCTTTACCTGCTGAGTCACCTCAGTTTTGTATACCTGCCCCCCATCACTTTTCTTTTTTTGGATATTTATTGAACTCTACATTTTTCTCTGCTCCCCACCCTACCTCTCCCCTCCCCCCTTCAGCCCTCCCCCAAGGTCCTCATGCTCTCAATTTACTCAAGAGATCTTGTCTTTTTCTACTTTCTACTTCTCATGTAGAGTAGATCTATGTAAGTCTCTCTTAGTGTCTGCATTGTTGTCTAAGTTCTCTGGGATTGTGGTTTGTAGGTTGGTTTTCTTTCCTTTATGTTTAAAAACCACCTATGAGTGAGTACATGTGATAATTATCTTTCTGTGTCTGGGTTACCTCACTCAATATGATGTTTTCTAGCTCCACCCATTTTCCTGCAAAATTCAAGATGTTGTTATTTTTTTATGCTGTGTAGTACTCCATTGTGTAAATGTACCACATTTTCCTTATCCATTCTTCAGTCAAGGGGCATTTAGATTGTTTCCAGGTTCTGGCTATGACAAACAAAGCTGCTATATGAACATAGTTGAGGACATGTCCTTGTCGCACTATTGAGCATCCTTTGGATATATACCCAAAAGTGGTATTTCTAGGTCTTGAGGAAGGTTGTTTCCTAATTTTCTGAGGAATCGCTACACTGACATCCAAAGGGGTTTTACCAGCTTGCATTCCCACCAGCAATGCAGAAGTGTTCCTTTTTCCCCACAACCTCTTCAGCATAAGTTGTCATCAGTGTTTTTGATCTTGGCCATTTTTTCAGGTTTAAGATGGAATCTCAGAGTTGTTTTGATTTGCATTTCTCTGATGACTAAGGATGTTGAACATTTCCTTAAATGTCTTTC